TAATACCTGATGGGCTAATCTTGCATCTGCCCACAGTCCCTGGGTGTTACAAGGTGGCTTGGCCTAGGGACCACTTAGGGTAAGTGTTGAGCCCATAGAGCCCATGTGATGGGTTTCAGGGGGTGCACTGTCCATAACAGTGTATTCGGCCAGACCTTGTAACAAAGGTTGGGCTGAACCCATGTGACTGATGTGTAGATCAATGTTTGGGTCCAACACCATACAAGGAAGCCCAACTGAGCAGCAATTTGGAAGGCTAAGTGAGCACATAACCTTAATGAGCTAAAGCCCATTTCGAACTAGATTGATTTGATCAGTTATATAAGGGGCGAATTCTGGGATTGGATTAGCATATAGGATAGAATCTTAACCCTATCCACTCAGAGAATCCAAATCTGAATGTGATTCAGATCTGGAAACCTCTTAATAAGATTAGGAGAAAGGCTAATCTAATCTGCAGATAAGATAAAGGTTTTCCCTTATCACTTTAAAGGGAAGTTTGATCCAAATATGATTTGGATCAGCAACTCCTAATGGGATTAGGAGCTGATCCTTTTAAGGTTATAAAAGAAAGAAGGGGCGGCAGCCTTTAGAAGACAGATATTCACATCCTCTTCAAAGCTGAAATCACAGAAGGAAGAATTAAGCAACCCTGCGAAATTCTTTCTTGCCGCCTCCTTCCTGTTGGCGCCTCACCTGCTAGTTCAATCTCCAGTTCAGTGGGAGAAATCAAGATTCGATCTTGACATCAATTCCTTGTGAAGGGACTGATAGGAAGTTGTGCTCACGTGCCATCCTGCTATTTCTTGCGAAAGATTAGGTTCTTGGAGAGAACGCTGTTGATTTTGCTCCATCCTRCACTGCGCCATCTTCAGTGGAAGCAGTCTTTGGATCCTTCCTTGGGCGTGAACACCTTCGTTGGGAGACATTATTTCTCCGTATCAGGTATAATCCTCTCCTACTGCTTTTGTTCAGATCTGGTTCAATTTATGGTTCAAGATTGATCCTTAAAAAATATGATTTTTCCAAAATAGGGAATGTGATTCCCAGTTGAGAGGAGATAAATTTTTGAAATTCGCCCGCCTTATTCCGCAAGATTTGGGCATCCATACGATGGATCTCTCATCCATTCACCAGGGCATTCTATAAAAGTGACATTTTGCAGTACTGCTTAGTTACTTGTCAAAAAACAAGGAAAACTCCAACCTTAAGACTTTCAAATAACATCCATGCTAAAATTGTTATAAATAACAACATACAGTAGTTCCCTGTTTCATCAAATCATGTTTGCTTGCAAATCCAAAAAAAAAGAGAGAGAAATAGTTCCATGGATCCAGGATTAAGAACCTATTAACAGATTAAAACTGAATCCAGAAGAGAAATTGGTCAATTCATTTTATGAATGTTGAATTTCTATGCCGGTCTGGGTGTTCTTAATGAAAAGTCAAAAACCAGTCCATTCATCTCAAAGCTCAAGTGACATCAAATGAGTTCTTGGGAAAGGTATCCATCCCAAAATATACATCACCGTGTTGCCTTTATCAGAAAGGACCGCCCCAAAATATGATTAAAGTCTAAGTCATTTTTATCAGTATGATATGATTACAACCTAAATTCATCGCTACTCATAAGAACTAGAGCATGGTAACAGTTCATAGAACATGAAAATGTTTATTTGGAAGCTGGCAGCTACATGCAAGGCCAAAAGAATAACTCATTAGGAGAATCAGTAATGGTCTTTCTGATATCAGTAGTTGGTGTTTCAGCGAAAAATGTAAAATCCATTTAAATTAATGCTAGAAAATCTAAAGGATGTTAGATTGCTTATAAATAGAATATAGAGAAAATGATTATGTTAAAAGTATAATTACTTGTAACAGCAGAACGTTGTGCTCGGTCCTCCACTTCTATTGCCACTTGAACAAGGCCACCTTCTAATTGTGATATGCACGGTGGAACAGGAGCATCCTACATTTGTTAAAAAGAGAAATCAACAGTAAAATCAACTTGGCATGGAGATATAGTTGTCCTAGCCTGTCAGCAGTTGCCCTCAAAAGCAAGATGAACTTTTTAAAAATAACTAAAATAAAGTGGCAAGTTGCATATAGAGAGGGGAGGTATTCAAGAGGTAAACATGTCGAAGAACCCAAACATAAAAGAAAAAGATGACAGCTCAATAAGATAACCCTGACACCAATAAAAGGAAAGGTTGCCCTAACTTGTCATTACCAAAAGACCTATTACTCAAAGCTGCTCTACAAAAAGAGACACCCAAACAAAACCAACTATAAATAAACCACAAGAAAAAACAATTTAGAAAGCTCCCTGAATGCCCTTCTTATTACCCACAATTCCACCATCCAATACCTACAAAGGGTGATCTCCCCCCTACAACCTCTTCCTCTCATATTTATCACCGTCCCTCTCCCAAGCTTCCTACTGCACCTCTCTTAACTTTAGACTCCTCCAATGCACAGGAATTCATCAAAGCAATTTTTCCATTCCCCACACTATGGAACTACTTGATTAGAACCCCTCCTATTCTCCCTGCTTCTCCAAATGTCTGGTTCCATCATGGTTCCAAACTCAAAGGTTGTAAACCTCTTTATTGAATCCACCACCGTCTAAGAACAATTTTGTCTAGTCTGCATCACGAAATTGGTTTGCATTAATCTCCCTCCCCCCACCTTTCCTTTTCTTCCTCTTTATCATCCTAAATGCTTCGCTAGCAAAATCTTCACCACCCAAAAAAAATAAGCCTAAATGGTGAAATTATTGGGTTGAGATTAGAAAAATCCCTTGACTGCATTCATGATGCAGAAAATAAAATCACAATCAAAGTTACAGCAATGGCAAAGGTGTGAGTTATTTGATATTAAGAAAGTTTAACAAGTTCTGCTACATAAGAATAAAGCAAGCATAAATTAATTCCAGGCAAAAAATTGCAACCAGTCAGATTTACAGATACTTGTTAATACACACTTCCTCCTGTTAATAGTATATGGAATATGGAACTGTTGAAAGGCATGAATAACAAGGAAGCTTATGTCTCTAATAATAACATAAATAATCACCTCTTGTTTTCATTGACCAACAGAATGAAACAAACAATTAATGTTTACTGCACAATCACCTTTTGTTTGAATAGTTGAAGCTTTATTGGGAGAATAAAAGAAAAGGAAAAAAAAAAACAGCTACCAAGAGAAAGACTCTCACTGCCTCAAGACTCAAAAGAGGCAAGCATAGCCACCTCTTGTTTGAAAGAGTGAGGGAAAAAAAAAACTAAAATAATCACTGACAAAACTCCAGAAACAAAACCATCCGGTCTGGAAAGCTCACTGGGTCACTGTTTTATTGGTTAACTGGAACATTAGATTGTTCAGCCAGTAAAGAACCATCAAATAACTAGGACCCAGAAAGCTCACCAACTCAGCAGTTAACCATCCAGTCTGGTCCAAGTCTGAGAACAATGCTTCAAACAAGAGAGTCACACATACAAAACATAAACAGCAGGGTAATTTTATATGAGATGAAATTTACTTATACCTGAGGATTGGTTTCAGCTGCAACTGAGCTAAGTGCACCATCAACAACATAAATAAAAGGAGCAATTTCCAAATCCTCTTCTGCTCGGTAACAAACAAAAAGTCCACAACCAATACAGTTCATACGGAACTGTTTTTCCAATTTTCCTTCGCCACTGGATAAGAAAGATACACAGTTTGTGCATAAGAGTTCCAAGGTAATTACAATTTAATTACTGTTTGAAACCATTATTACCAAAATGCAAATAATTGACAAGCTTGAAAGCTTGAACTTAGCTTGTTGACTAAATGGTCAACTACCCGGGAGAAAAAGGAAAAAAGAGTAAGTGACCACACAAACAGGAGATATCTTTTAGGATTAGGATAATAAAATATGGTATCACTAACGGAAGAAGAGTGCAAAACAGTAATGATGTTCCAGTTAGAGTAGCTGGATAAGGTAACTCCTTAAGAGATGAGTTGCTGGCACTCCTTCAGGGATTAAAACTAGCTTTTTTTCCTGAGGATGGGCAGGTTTTGTGGTTCAATGTGACAATCCTCTGGTGATTGATTAGGTGTTCTTGCCTGTGGATGAACCTCAAACTCTTAGGTTCCTTATAAGAGAAGCTAGAGCATTAGCTGCTTATTTGAGTGGCTAAGGCGGGCGAGTTCCGAGATCAGCTAATGCCCAAGCTTATGAGGATACCAGGCAGTCAAAGCCTGAGATTGCAATGATAAAGCTAATTCTACTGCAATTAACTTCTACAATTCTGTCTTTCTAGTCAGCTATATGTCTTTTGTTCTGTTTATATTTGTTCTAGACTTCTAGTTCCCTGTCGTTATCTCTTATAAGGGGTTTCTCTCCATTATAAATAAAATCACTTTTTTTTGGTAATAAACAAAATCACTTATGAACATTACTGATAAAAAAAATATGCTTCAGGAGGATATGCCAAGAAGCAACAAACATTTTGTATTCATAACAGTCATAACCACAGGTGCTTCAGGTAGGGAAAATTATTAAAAAAAAAAAGGTCGATCTTTAAAAGTACCGTTTTAGTAGAACTTTTCCTGCTTCACTGATATTCAGCCTTGCAAGGTGTTTCTTCTTGTCTAGAACAAATGCTTTGTCTGTTTTCCGTTTTGGCATTTTCTGCAACTGGGTATCTTAGAACCAATATATTTTAGTAAGAAGGGCTCCTTACACATCTGGGAAATGATACAGTAGTAGCAAATGCTGAACAATAACCACTTAGGGCATGAAACATAAATAACGAAACCTCTAAAAAGATAATGCAAATTATAAAATGGTGTTTTGCCCTTCAAAATAAAAAATGCGAAGGCCTCAAAATACTTGCAAACACATTAACTACACTATGCGTCCTATTATAGGGAAATCTGTAGATACCAAAGCAAAAGCATTCGCATAAAAAAAGGGGGAAATGAAAAAAAAAACAAGGAAATATGGATAACCGGACTAAAGAATTCGAGGACCACACTATGAGTCGTAAAGAGACGAACCCAGGAATTCTTCGTTAAACACTTATCATGAACAAACTGGAAACTCAGACTACATAGAAAATTATATGACATCCTAATGGACAGTCAAATTGGGAGGATAAGTGAAACAAAAGAGGGCAGTAAAACTTTCAAAACACCAACTCTATAGTATCAAAGGATGTAAATAAGTTTTTTTTTTCAGTGCAAACAGCGGTCTTCAGCTCCAATGGTATAATAATGAATTTACCAAAGGAAACCCTAAAACGCACATGCACATACAGTAAGAGAAATAGAGAGAAGATGCAGAGAACCTGTGATGAGAACATGAGAACCACAATGTTTGCAGTAGTAAACATATAGATCAGATTCGGGACCGTCCGGGGCTGCATCCTCGCTTGAATATGTATGAGTTGTTCTCTTCGGCATCTTCTTAGACCATAACCCCCCTTCACCGGTTCACGGAATCACAGTCGAGTCCTCTCAAAGCTCCAGCCAACCAACGTTACTTCAGTTTCATACGAGTCAACCGCTGCATATAGCAGAATCTCCCCCCTCTCCAAAGTCCAAACCCAGGACTAACCGTCGATAGTCCAATGGTAATAACGCGGTTGCTTCTCGTCTAAGATTACGAATGATGAGACACTCGAGTCGATAAATCCAGTACGCCCTGCCTCTGAGCACATCCCTCCGACTCCGAATTTGGAGGCGCGGGATCAAACCCCGCGTAGCGACAATTAGTTAGGGCTGTCAATACTCAATAGTCAATGGACACCGAAGGTTCGGTACGATATACAAATAAAATAGTTTACATATGAATATAAATTTATTATTAAATATATATATATATATATATATATATTATTAAAAATGAATATATTTTTTTATTTTTTTCATAATCCAATGTAGATTACGATGAACATATGGATCTAATCTGAATCAAACTCATGTGCATTCTGCTTTTGTGTGGATAAAAAGCTTGACATGTTATTTGGTCAATTCAGTTCGTCAATTGGACTGGATTTGGTCCAATCCGATTCAGTCCAATGTGAGTCCATTGTACATGGACCAGGTCCAATACAATCCAATGAATGTATTGGGTTAATTTGGACCTATCCAATTCAATGTCTGAACTGTCCAATCTGTTCAAATTTATTTTGATTTATATTGGTTTCAATCCAAACCCAGTACATTGATACATATACTTATCTTATAACAATGGGTCAGATATTAGCTTAAACCAACCCAATCCAATATAAATTTGTTATGGACGGACCAGATCCAATCCAATCTAATAAATATTTTGGACCAGATTGGTCCAATCCAATATGTCTTGTTAGTCCATCCAATCTGTCCAAAATTGATTTTGGACTGGACATGGTCCAATCCAAAACTAGTGGTCCATTGACACCCTTAAGGATAAACACTAAATTGATCGATTTGGTTACTTGCTTTTTTTTCAATTTAGTTTATGGATTTTCCTTGGCTTTCCATAAACAACCCAAACATTTTGGTGTCATTGAGAGGTTTTCATGTAGTGCTTTTAGCTTTGCAAGGTATGGGTGGGTTGGGTAAGGGCTGAATACTAATATACCCATATTGACCCCTCAACCCACTATGGTCCATCATCAATCATTGTTAAATAGTCATAACCCACTCTAATCCTTACTCACCCATATTGACCCACTTGACCCATCTGTATTGACCATTAATTACCCTCACCTATAAATACAAAAATGGGTCGGGATGGCTCGTATACCTAAAGCAATAATTTTTAAGAGGAACATCTTTCTCAAGGTTGTCATGTTGCAAACAAAATGGGTCGGGTTGACCCATATATCGAAATAACTAGTTTTTTGAGAGGAACATCTTTCAAGACAACCACATGTCGGAAATGAGTTGAGGCAACCCATATACTCATCAATTTTTTGAGAGAACAATCTCTCTCAAGGATGCCACGTGAAAGAACCGGGTAGAGTTGACACGTATACTAGGAAAAAAAAAACATTTTGAGAAAATCATCTCTCTTAAGACTCCATGTGACAAAAACGGGTTGGGTTGACCCATATATTAAGAGGGGGGGGAACATTTTTGAGAGAATCATCTCTCTCAAGACTACCACGTGATAAAAATGAGTTTGGTCAACCTGTATACCTGAAAATGCAAATATTGTAGATAAATGTAGAAAATGCAAAAAAAAAAAAGCATAAATTCAGAAAAAAGTACATAAAATACCACAAAATTACAAAAAATGCAGAAAAATACTATAACATTGCATAAATTTTGCAGATAATGCAAAAATACTATAAATTTGCAGGAAATGCATGAAAACACCAGAAAAATGCATAAATTATGCAAGAAAGCACAAAAAAATTGTAGAAAATGCAGACAAATACCACAAATTTAAAAAACGTAGAAAAATACTAGAAAAGTGTAAAAAATGTAGAAAATACCAAAATATTACAAAAAATGCATAAATTTTATAAAAGTACTTTTATGTTTCCATAAGAGTACTTTTATAAAAGTGCTTTCATGTAAAAGTACTTTTATAAAGGTACTTTTATGCTTTCATAAAAGTACTTTCAAAAAGTGCTTTTGTAAAAGTACTTTAGTAAAAGTGCTTTCATAAAAACACTTTTTGTAAAATTACTTTATATAGTTGCTTTTGTAAAAGTGTTTTCGTGTAAAATTGCATTTGAACACAAAAATTAATAAAATCTATAATCACAACCCTAATGGGGTGTGCACGCTAAGAGACTTGAGTTCGAGTAACTTCAACTGCTATATTTTTTAGATTTGGTGAGTATAAACCCAACCCATCATGACCCGCATCACCCAACCCACCCTAAGCCTTTCCCACTAACCCTAATAGGTTACTCAATCCATGTTGACCTGCTAATAGAATGGGTGGATCAAACGGTTTGGGGTCAAGATTGCTAGCCCTAGCCCCACATAAAAAAAAAGGCTTAGAAATTAGATTTGGTGAATAACTTGGAAAGCCCAAATATGCTTCGTCAAGTAAACAAAAAAAGGGGGGGGATTCGACTTTACTACCATGAACTTTGGGGGTAGTGTCAAGTTAGTACCCAAACTTTCAAACGTGTCATTGCAATACCTAAACTTTCAAAAGGTGTCAAGTTGGTCCCTGCCATTAACCGACCGTCAATTATCTGTTGAAAATGTCAAAACTACCCTTCAAAAGAAGACACTGTTCATTGACTTCTACATCGAGACTACGGCTTCAAGAACAACTCATGATGATTTGTGAACAGAGGAGAAGGCAGTCTGTAAAGAAAAAAAACAAGGGAAAATTCCTAATCAGTATCCTATACTTTGGCTCGAGTGACAAATTGGTCATCGAACTTTAAAATGAGACAATTCAGTACTTAACCTTTCAAAACGTGACAATCTAGTACCCGAGCTTTCAAAACGTGACAATTCAGTACCTATCGTTAATCAGCTGTTAAGTGACATTTGGAAAGTAAAAAAATGCCTTAAGAATGTCATCTAATTCTCTTTATCAACCATCCAAACATTAACAATCAAATGAGCAGTCCCAAATTCTATATTCTTCTAAGCAATTACCAACTTTTTTTGAATAGAAAAGGCTATGATTTGGGACTGTTCAATTTTTTGTCAACGTTCGAATGGTTGATAAAAACAATTAGATGGCATTCTAAAGGCATTATTGACTTTTCAAATGTCACTTAATGGCTGATTAACAACAGGTACTGAATTGTCATATTTTGAAAGTCTGATACTGGATTGTCGCATTTTTAAGTTTGGGGACCAAATTGTCACTTGAGCCAAAGTAGAGGGTACTGATTGGAAATTTTCCCAAAAAACAAACAAACAACAGGAGGTCAATATAAAACATGGAAGGAATAACAAAGAAAAAAAAATAAAAAATGGAAAGAACTGGTTTTGGGAGATGGGAGTTGGGTCTATTCCATCAAAGTTTTTAAAATTGATTCGGACAATGAACTGGTCAGGGTCTGGTTCTTGGGTCAAATGGTCTAATCGTTTGAATTGAACAGACGACTCGTTATGATAAAAAGATAAAAAATAAAAAAAGAACCGGCCAAACCATTATATGGTTCGAAAAGTCTGACCATCCAGATCAGCAGTTTGTTGACCAAATCAACAATTTTTGAGGAAATAACGGTTATAGGGTAAAACGGAACCGATCACTTGACCGGTTCTCAATTTTTCCGATTTGACCATCCGATCCGATCCGGTTTTAAAAACAATGTATTCCATGCTTAGGACTTGTTCACAGAGTTATTTTGGTAGATTCGTTATCATTTTAAAATGGGTCATTTATTAGAACACCTCATATAGTTTCACAAATTTACTTAAATTTATAATTTTCATTGTACTAAAACACTTATAATTTATAATCTATTTATTTAACTGGTATTTTATTAAGAAATATTTATTTTACCATCTAAAAAATTGGGTGAAAAATGTCCATGGGATATGATTATTTATTCCAAAAATGCCCCTAACATTTATTCATATAAAAAACAACATGGACCATATAGTGGTTAATGTTGTCTTATTAATAAAGGGAGGGGAATAAATCGGTTATAAATTATAGGGAGTATTTTTTCGATCTTTCCGTCAACCAATGCTAACATCGTGAATTGTCTGAAGGATACATTAAATAAATTTTTGTAAGTTTTATATATTTGGTAAAAGATAGGCGTAGTTAGTATTTTCCCTATTTTTGTTACGAGAATTCCGCCTTAGGCCTTACCGTTATTGTTTTTGTCCAAACATCGTCTCCCTGTTCGGCGTACCGTGCGCAATCCCGCCACTCTATTGAAGTCTTGAGGTAAGTTCTGCAACTGCGCTTTCTTGTTTCATTATTTTCCCCCAATTTCGATGCGTAGCACATTATGGGTCGTTAGAGTTTGTTGATCTTTTATTTCATACAATAAAGAGGGGGAATTGACCCTATTTCTTATCACTTACTGTTGATTCAGATGGATTGGCAAGGGCAGAAGCTCTCTGAGCAGCTGATGCAGATCATGCTCGTCGCCTTTGCCGTAGTGGCCTTCATCACCGGTTACTCCATAGGTTCTTTCCAGACGATGCTTCTCATCTACACCGCCGGCGTTGTCCTGACTACATTGGTCACTGTTCCCAACTGGCCCTTCTTCAATCGACATCCTCTGAAGTGGTTGGATCCGATTGAAGCAGAGCGCCATCCCAAGCCACAACCAGTAGCTCCGAAAAAGAAATCCACTAAGCAGCATTAGAAATAGGTCATACAACATATATTGCTAGATGATACTAGGGTTTTCTTTAGATGGAACTTTTATGGATGGTACTTATACTTTATGATGGTGGATGCTTACTGTTATTTCAATTGATGTTTGAATTAAAACAAGGGAAATTTTTATGCGCCTTATACCTGTCCACTGTTTCCTTGTCTTTATTTTTGACTATTGTTCACTTAGATGTGTTTCGCTCAATTGTGCAAGTGGGCGCATCAGTGATTGCCAAATAGGACCTTCTGGTTTACGAAATATATTGGATGTTGCTTATAGCTAATGTATTTGAGAGGACGAACTTGCATAAAGGATGAACTTGCATTTAACATATCTCTGTTAAAATGCCTAGACCAGGTAAGGTGGTGCATTTGGCTTGTCATCTTAGGCACTTGCCTGGTTTTCTTAGGTGATTAATCAGTGTCTATGAACCCTAATTTTTTATTTTTCCCTTTTCAAGTTTAGACATTTGACTAAATTTGATTAAAAAAATTATGACGACTGTTGCACAAAATTCACTATCATGGTAACCTAGAAAATGTCACATTATATAAGTGTGTGTGCATATATATTTGGAACAGGTTGGATAGTCAGTCATTAATTGAGCTCCTCTGAAGACCTAAGAATCTCCCAGGTTGGAACCTATTTGGAGCTCAAAATGAGTCTCTGTATAACTCTTCCCTCATTTTTTTCCCAGGAAAAAGTTTCAGTTCAAAGACATTGCCACATATTCAAAATAGAACCTTTTGTAGACAAGTCTTGTATAATCGATGACTTTTATTGATTGTGCAAAACTCCAATACAAGGTCAGGTCTTTGGCTGATATAGATCTGGGATTGAATGCATGGAAAATCCAGTGGGTATCCTATCTGATGGACAGTATAAATTCACCAATCACAGGGCAGAAATAGTGGGGTCATTTAGGTAAACTCCCTACTTGATCCAATCAGGAATGAGGAATCTCTATTTATAAAAGAGGCCATTGCCCAATATTGGTCCTAGGCTCCTACCCATCTGGGGTATTGGGAGTGGTAGACTAGATACCGACCTAACATTTGGCCTTTTTTTTTCTTTGCATGAAGTGGACACTTTCAGACATGAATCTGTGTTGTCATGTTTGTTAGCCTGAGATTTTACCATTACACCAAGCAATGGCCCTTAAGGATCCTATTCATAGTTATACACTATAAAATCATAAATATAACTATTTCTACAAAAATATAGGATATGAAAGTAATATATTGCCTGGCAGAAATTCATTCCTATGTGCCTACCCCATTGCCCATGTTGTAATCTTAAACATCAGTTTGGTTTTACTTGTTCCAGCCCAGTTAATATGGCCTGCTATTAGAACTGTGTTGGTTAGGCACTTCAATTACCCATTCCAGTGCTATGCTTCTATTCTGGAAGTGAAGTGACTCAGGAATACCATGAGACTTATCAACATCAGTTAGACCATTAGGTGCGGCCTTAAAAAGGAAGCATTGCCATTTGTGGCACCAAAAGTTGGAACTTGTTTCTGTATTTTGAGTCTTCAGGAAAAATTTTCAATTTGTTCTAGGTGCATAAACTGAGTGGGAAATGGAGCAACAAGGCATGTGAACCCAAAAAAGTAAGACACTTGAATATAATCAAGTTAACATGATAACCTTATGAATCATGTAAAATCAGGTTATTAGGTGCATCCCTTGAAAGGAACCCTTCCCATTTGCAGGACCTGATGTTGGAATTTATTACTGTATTTTGAGAACTGGGACAAAATCTAGGTACCTAGACTGAGCTGTATATGGAGCAGTGAGGTATGTGAGCTCCTAGTAGGACTGTTGTTGATAATCAAGCCAGAGGTACTGTTGGGGTTTCCAACAATGAGAAAATGGTATCCATATTGCTAAAACCACATCTACTTTTTTTTGATTGGTAGCTGTCAAGAATTTTTATTGATCATGAATAAAAGAATGGTATTGACAAGGTGTTAAAATTCTGATTTCTGAATATTAGACTAGCTGCAGATGCTTAATCCCAAAATTCTGAAAAAAAAATCATCTAATTTATAAACCCCAAATACAGTTGTTCACTATTAACCCCTTGTTTAGCTAGGGAATTTGCCATACCATTTTTTGCTGTATGTGTCACATTCACACCCATGTCACTTCTATTTCTCTAGCAAGTTGTTAAGCTGGTCTCACAGCTTGCTGATGCTGCCATGTGCCTTGTGAATCCTTCTTGAGCCATCCCACCATCATTCTAGAATCACCTTTTTACCACAATATTGTGTAGTCCCAAGCTCTTTCATGTATTGAAACCTTGTGTCTCTACCTGTGTAGAGTCTCCTTCTATTTTACCTGAATAGAGGATAATGAAGTATTGTTCCGTAAGACTCATGTTGCCAACAGACCTGGATGTCCAAGACTACAGACTTCAAAATTGAGTTTCACTTGGTTCAAAATGGATGGAACCATTCTCTAGTCACTTTTAATCTGAAACTTTAGGAATTTACCACATTTTAAAATTTTACCTGGCTTTAATGATATCATCTTTGGATAAAGGATAAAAAATCTCCAAGTTCTTCACCTAATTTGCTACTTTTATCAAGACATTTTCAATCAGATCCTCTGTTGTCCTTTTTTGTAATCATTGGAGATTATAGCATTCCTTACCTATCAAGTTCACCAGTGATTAGCTGCTCTAGTACACTTTCACATGATTTTTCCCCTCCTATTTTTTGGAATAGAGGTCATTTTGGAAGGGTAGAGGAGAAAAAAGAAAGCGTTGCTAGATAGATTGAACAATTGGATAGTAAGGAAACAATTGATCATTTAAGTGAAGAAGAGAGAGCAAAGGTAGAATTTGAAAAAAAGGTATTGGAGAATACATTGTTGAGAAGGGTGATTCGTTGGAGATAGAAATTACGGTACAAATGGATAAAAGATGGGGATGGAAATACCAAAATTTTTCATGCGGTGGCAAATGGAAGAAGGAAAAACAACTTTATATCTAAATTCATGAACGATAGAGAGGAAGTCACAAACCAAGTGGGGATTACAAATATATTGGTCGGACATTTTAAATCAATCTATGAGGCTAGATATCAAATGCTTGGAGATGAAAGGACTAGATTGACAACACATGCCTTTTATTTCCCATATTTTCTTATCCTGTTCTTTTGTGCTTTGTATTTGGGAGCATCCATGTTCTCTCTTTGGGTGCAGGTGGTCTCCTCCTCAGGATGTGGTAGGGCTCTTTGATCCAACATTCTTTAAACAATCAAGGTTTAGAGGAAGGCTGATGTGGAAAGCTGCGAGAGCTGCATTGATTTGGACTGTTTGGGAAGAAAGAAATGGAAGGGTATTCAATAAAAGAGTATGACAGAATTGGAAGTTCTGGAAACATTATAAACAAAGGTAGCACATTGGGCGAAGTCAATGGAGGACTTTAAATCTTTCTCTGTAAATGATATTCTGAGAAAGTAGAAGTGGCTATGTCAGCCCAAAACAAGGAAAGAGCAATGATGGAATGGAGGCAAGCAGCAGCCAACTGTGTAAAACTCAACTTTGATGGAAGCTACATAGGCAATCAGGCTATAGCTGGGATGGGAGGGGTATTTCGAGACTCAAAAGGGAAGGTGCTTGCCTCAAGGTTCAAAATATCGATACGCTTGATATGCCGGTAGAGGCGTAGACAGTATCGGTAGTTTTTTTTCTTTTCAAATCCGGTTCAGAGGGGCCGGTTTAAGGTCCATCCACCCCCTGAATCGGTCAAAACCCTGATACACCCCTACAGAGGTATGGACCGATACGTATCGATACTTTGAACCTTGGCTTGCCTTATATTCATAACCTGTAGCCAATGGTGAGGCAGTGACAACAGAGTTGTCTAGTCTTCTTCAAGGTCTAAAATTTGCTAAGCAATTTGGGTTTCTTAACTTGGAAGTGAAAGGGGATTCACAAGTGGTTATCTCATGGACAAGGAATAACACCCAAATCCCATGGGCTTACAGGCATACAGTCTGTGAAATAGAATCCTTAGCAAGGGGGATGATGTTACTTTTAGATGGGTAAGAAGAACAACAAATGGGATGGCAGACACATTGGCTAAACAACGGACTACAAGACAACATTTTTTTTTTTGGGCAAAAATCTATAGTTTCTTTTGGTGGAGAACTTTTCACCTTGATGTAAATCTGTAATTCCTTCTATTTGAAGTTCAATAAAATTCTTCTTTATTGATAAAAAAAGGAGTAGGTTGGCCTACTTTGGACACAAATTCACAGGAGATGTTAGAAAGAAATTATGAATTGGAAGATATAAAAAAGTTTTGTTTTCTCAATGGATAGATTAAAGGCTCTTGGTTTGGATGGTTTCATAATGACATTTTATCAAGATTGTTTGAAAGTGGCGAAAAGGATCTTATTGAGTTTTTTGATGAATTTTATGAGAGAAGTAAAATAAACCCTGGTCTTAACACCACCTTCTTAGCTCTAAAACCAAAATCTCCTATGGTAGTACACCCTAGAAAGTTGAGGCCAATTTGCTTGATAACCTATATATATTTATAAGATTATTGCCAAGGTGCTCTCTCTAAGGATAATATAGGTGATCCCCTCAATCACTTCCCTCTTTCATGGAGCTTTCATCAAAGATAGGTGAATTGTGGATGAAATCTTAATTGCAAATGAATGTGCGGAGGATAAGAAAAAGGTTTTACCCTTTTTTTTTTGATCAGCAAGAAATTTTTTAATTAATAACATAGAAAATCAGTTACAATAGTTAAAGGTTGCAGAGAAGCATTAATCTAATGTGCAACCACTTCACTTGCAATCAGCTACAATTCTGCCCAGTACAATGAAGATCTATTTGCCCCTTGTTTTGCTAGGGTATTCGCCATCCCATTTGCATTCCGTTTTGACCCAACCAAATTGAGAGTTGATCCTCCTTGCAAGTATGTCAATTTCTCTGAAGATAAATTTGAGCTTCCAAGGTACTGATGTGATGTTTTTAGCCCAAGAAGCAGGGCTAGAGATTCAACCTGTATTGTGTCACCAATACCTATTGGTCCTGAGAAGAGTGCCACCTCCACACCCAGATGATTTTTAAACACACCCCCTATGCTTGCCCTTCCTGGGTTGCCAAAAGAACTCCCATCAAAGTTTA